TCATTTTTATTTCTGGCAAAGATGGCTGTAGCTCTAGGACTTCTGGTCCCTTTTATACTAATAAAAGATTGAGCCCACAACCTCCTGCAGCCACCAACTAGCTCAGAGGAGAGGATTACAGTAGTAGCTGATGGCTTGTGCTGTTAATGATGTCATCTCGAAAGGAGTGCCTTCATTCAAAAAAAAAACACAAGCCCACAATGACACATGTGCAGCCACTACACTAGTCTCTCTTGGACAAATGGACATCATAGTAGCTGGCTTGTGCTGTGCGCTTGTTTTTTGTGACTGACAATGCTCCTTTTCAGTGCGGTCATTCACAACACAGATACTGCCAGCTACGGAAAACTCCTCACAACTACCTAGCAACTGTGGGAGGTTGTAGGCTCAGTCTTTTACCAGTACTAAGAGCGGAGGAGACTTCTGGCAGGGAGGGCTGCAGATATTCATTCTGACAGTGTTCAGTGGAGGTCGAGGCGGAGTGGGCTCTGTGTCTGTACTGCGCTGTCAGTAGTCCGTGTCCTTGATTTTGCCATGGTTGAACAGTGGTGAAGATAGGGGAGAGGCAAGCTATCCGACCACACAGCTCAGAACCACAGAACAGATTTTTACAGGAACAAGTCCTATGCACGCTGGGTCCGCTGGGAGATTTAACAAGCCTTTTTAACTTACAGGCTCTGTTCACACCAATATGTTTTTTAGTACTTTTTGCTGAAAAGCACTACAGTCTATTTAACATGGTTTCCTATGAAACATGTTCATATCTATGATGTTTTGAGCTGCTGCTTTCCATAAAGGGCCAGGGACTTTTTAAAAAGCAAAAAAGCAGTGTTTTTGCTAAAATAGAGTTCAATGAAGAAGCTGCTGAAATGCATGATAATGCACATTTTGCATTTTTATTCTGCCAAGGAACAAAAATTGTTAATAATTGTGCGGTCATGCAATGCTGCACCCCAGTGAAATTTATGTCCTTTTTTTTCCCCCCACAAATAGGAGTTTTCTTTTGGTGGTAATCCACACATGTAGGAAACCCAACATTAGAGGTGAGGTCACCTCTGCAGTTTTTATTATTTGTGCTATAAACAAAGACCAACAATTTAGAAGAAAAAAAACAATATTTTTGACTTGCTGCTAGTGTTTGTCTGCTACATGTTTTTGCTAAAAAAAAAAAAATCTCAATAGTTGTATATGAATTGGTTTAAGTGAAAATATAGCGTCTACAAAATGGCAGTATACATATTGGAATTTTTATTATACTAGTAATGGCTGTGATCAGCGGGTCTGCGGCGGGGCATTCTGACACTGGGTGGGAACTAACTGCCACTGACATCCCCAGTGACACTAATAGAGTGATCAGTGCTAATAAAAAGCACTGACGCTGTACTGACACTGGGCAGGAAGGGTTAACATCTGGGGCAATCAAAGGGTTTACAGTGTGTTGTGTGTGTTTTACTTGGGAGACATGCTACATGTCCATGCTGACAGGAGAGAGATCTGTGTTGTTTACACACAAATCTCTCCCCTCTCAGCCCTGCTGATGATCACTGATTCTCAGCCGGGACCCTGTGAATGACATATCCAGCAGCTAATAGTGGCGTGGGTAGGGTATCTGCTATGGGGCAGCTCTTAAGTGGTTAACAAAAAAAAAAAAAAAAAAAGCTGAACAAAATCTAAAAACGTGGTAAAAACACATGTAGAAAAAACGCAGAATGAACTGTGAAAAGCAGTACAAAAATGGACAAAAAAAGCAAACTGCATAGGTGTGAATGGAGCCATTGTGAGACTTCTTTAACAAGCAAGTATTTCGAATAGAGTTGACACTAAATGTATAGCAAGGTTCTCTTTTGGGCAATCACCTCGTTTTCTCTTTGCCAAGTCTCACCTATTTTGCGATTTCCTCTTTTAAAACTCCCTGCACTCTTTGCATTCTGCTTTCTTGCTCCATTGTTTCTGTCTGTCTTTTTCGTGTTACCTGCTCTAAATACAGCAAATAGAGGGGCATAGCATAGTAAGTTAAAAAAAATAAATTAGTTTCAGTAAGGGTGGTACTTAAATTTCAACTCTTAATTAGTTTAGTGTAGTCATACTCTGTGTTCATGTGGTGAACTGTGATTGCAGAAGACCAAATGTTATACACGGATAGGGAAATTACTAATATAATTTATTTATTTATTTTGGAATGAAGGGGGTTCTCACCTCCAGTCCAAAAGGAGCTTTACCCTCTGCCTTTGGTGAAATTGAAAAAGGTATGCATGCAGCATCCTTATGTGTCATTTTACCCTTCAACAGAGCAGTTCTGCTTTTATTCAAAATCCTCTATTTTTCCTCATTCACCTCAGTCAAAGGGTAACCCCTATTATTAAATGTCTGTGTCGTCTCAAAGAGATGCTGTTCTCTAGCCATCTGACTCTGAGGGATACAGCAGAACAATGTATGAGGATGAAAACATGAATATAACAACTAGTTGCGGTGAATGGGCTGAACAACCAGCTGTTATTATATTCAAGTTTTCATCCTCATACAGCGTTGTGCTCTATCCCTCGGAGTCAGATGCCTAGAGAACAGCGTCTCTTGGAGAGGACACAGATGTTGGGTGATATGAGTTACTATTTGACTGAGATAAAAAAAAAAAAAAGAAGGAGGATTATGTCACAATTTCACCATTTCTCAGACAGGTTATATGGGAGGAAGATTTACTAGTAACCAATCAACTTCTAATTCCTAGATTGTAAGCTCTAACAAGTAGGGCCCTCTGTTTCCTCTTGTACCAAATTGTACTGTAACTTTAATGTCTCCCTTAATTTTGTGAAGCGCTGCGCAAACTGTTGGCGCTATATAAATCCTGTATAATAATACGAATTTCAGCTTTACAAATAATCCTGGTTCACACCAGTGCAGCTTTGAAATTGTGCTACTTCAACGCGATTTCAAAGCCGCAGATCAGTGCGATTTGGATGTTTGATTTAACTGCGGCTTGCAACTTCACTTAACAGAAGTCAATGCACGTTGCAATGAAATCACAGAAAAATAGTACAGGAACCTTTTCAATCCAATGATTTGAACAGTTCTATTACCGCAAATAGGGTGTGACTTGTCATTTTGAACTGTCAAATCGCATGACAAATTGCACTGGTGTGAACCAGGGCTTAAACCTAGAAGCTGATTGGTTACCATGCACTGTTGTACCAGATTCTGGGTGCACTAGTTTTAGTAAATCCCATAATGTCCAAAAAAACAAAACAAAAAAAAAACCCCACTGGAAATTGTATTGCTGTGAACCAGTACTTAAACCTAGAAGCGGATTGGTTACCATGCACAGTTGTACCAGATTCTTGATGCACCAGTTGTAGTAAATCCCCTCCATAATGTCCCAAAATTAAAAAAAAAACCTAGAAAGAAATTGTTAGAACATAATTATCCTGAAATTGAAGAATTCCAAGATCCACCCTTGAAGCCTTCTAAAAGGCAAGTCTGTACAGGGCAGTATAGTCAGAGAGGATTTAGTTCTTCCAAAACGCAGTCTCAGACATTTCTGGGTCCTAAACACAGATATTTTCTAGGTCTGTCCTGTGTGCATTGCTCTGTCATGATAAAGGGTTCGTTTTTCACACACCCTCACACAGGCAGGAGAATAGACAATAAAAGGTTAGTACACGTCAGAGCTCGTTTGTAGTTTATTGGTTAACATGCCCCTGTGGTTTATACTACATTGGGGAAACAACACAGAGAATGAAGGATCACAGCACAAAAGTCCTCACTCAAGATGGATTGGTTGGTTGGAGTTCCCTGTTGCCAAACATTTTGCTGCACATTGATAAGAAAAACAGAAATCTGAGTTGTGATATTGAGTGTCTGATTCCTAAATCCTGAATGGGGTGGAAACAGTGAAGAACAAGTGAGATGAAGGGAGGTTAAGGTGGTCCTAAAAAGGCAGAAGGTTTTTTTTTACCTTAATGCATTCTCTGCATTATGGTAAAAAATCTTCTGTATGCAGCTTCCCCCCCTAATACTTATCTGAACTCGATCTGGATCCAGCAACGTGCATGAGAGCAATATGCAAGAGGCTTGCTATGGGGGTCACTCAGCAGTGGGGAGGGGTCAGGAGCACCAGCGGGGGACCCGAGAAGAGGAGGATTGGGGCTGCTCTGTGCAAAACAATTGCACATAGCGGATAAGTATATATTTTTTTAATTAAATGTATGCCTTTCCAATCACTTTAAATGGATAGCCGAGTTGGAGACTATACAACCTAAAGGGTTAAACATTGACTTGGATTTATTCCTATTTTGTGAATTTTATCAGTGATCTTGCTCTGTGAATTTATGAAGTCATACTGTGGGTGGAGAATAAAGAACAGACACCAGGATAAAGGATTTCCAATGTATTTTTGTAATAATATAAATGTTATGTATTTGTTTCATTCATGTTGCCCTGTGAGGACCAGTTCACATAGAGAAAAACAAAACAGAGGGCGCACCGGCCTTGTGCATTACCTTTACAAATATGTTTATTAAATTTAAAAGAAGGTATTCTAAAACACAAAAGTACATGAAAATAAGCACATCATATATTTTTTCAGATGTGCAGTACAATTTTCATTTAAATGGGCTGAAATCACACTAGATTACACAAAACCTACTGCATGCATCAATTTAAAAAAGTGCACTGCACCAATTCACATTATCCAGTTCAGGCAAGTGCACTGTGTTGTGTTTGCGATCTGTTGGGGGGGGGGGGGGGGGGGGGTCTTTAGGAATCTACTGACACCCAGAGCAGATTGCACAACCAGGGCCTGTGATAATCTAATATTTACACACATTTTTGTTTTCGGACCAAATTGTTAAAAATGGCAATATTACAGGTTTTAAAAACACATATATTCAAATTTATTTTTAGTGTTCAAGTGTGTATAGCTCATGTATGAAATAATCATTGTGATAAACATGTAAAGTTCTGAGGAACACCATTTGAAAAAAAACTGCTTGCCCAAATAAAGTTACCTCTTTGTCATCACCTATCCGGATGGAGTTTTTGTCTGGATCAAAGCTTTTTACTTCTGATTTGATCCATTTGACTCCTGAAGGGATCACACTAGCTGTAGGACGAGCAGAACTTGCCAGCTTCTTGGCACCTCCACCAACCAGAGTCCACATGGGCTGATAGTAATGTGTCTACAGAAAAATATGGCAATATATTTCCATTAGCACTCGTCAACTGGCAAGTCAAAGGTATATTACAGTGTTCTAAACATATTTTCTTTATTTATAATTTGCATAACGAAAGATGACATTTTCACATGATCTGGTCCCCGAAATGACTTCAGTGTAGGAGGACAGGAAGCGACAATGGCTGTAGAACTTAGGCAAGAATTTCACCCATAGGCTTTCTATGGGGCATCTGTTGTCGACTGTCCCTCCTCTACACTGAAGCCGGCGCTGGGACACGATCATCTGAACAGATCAAAGTGACTTCAGAAAAAGTAAGTATAGACTTCTTTCCTTTAACAGGGTAGTTAGAATAGGCTTAGAATGGAGGTGGAAGCAGTATTAATGAATATGTAAACCCAACATTCCATATTCCTTACATGTTCCTGCTGAACTATGTACTTGTATGAAAAAGTATCCTATTCGCTTTGTATTGTGTGAAATCCCAGGTGTTCATGGGAGGCCCTCTGCTTTCCTATTAAAAACTGACCACAGTAGGCAGGAGAACACAGTGTGGTTAGTTGTCTAGCTGTGCTGGGAATTCAGCCTGCTCTCCTCCAATGATCAGACTTGTCCTGACACCTCCATTCACTGGGAAGTTCAGTGTGCTGCTGTTTATCCTCTCCCAACTCTTATGCAGCTGAGAACAGAGGGTTTGTGGTCACTTTAAAAAAAAAAAAAAAAAAAAGTATATATATTTTTTATATATCAACACACAAATATTTTGTCTTTCATTTCTATTTTGAACTGATTGCGTGAGGATTTACAATCACTTCAAGTTTAGTTTGGCTTGGATTATACTTTAAATATTACATTATCATTACTTGTGCCATAAATAGAGTCTAACTTTATTCCCCTGCTGGTCATCTCCATTAGGAAAACACACAGCTGAATAACTTGTTCTCACTACCTGTCTTTGGCTTAAGGCCATATTTTATCAAAGGGGCATGCTAGAAAACCAGCATCTGATCAGCAGCTTGAAGCCAATGGCTGCGAGCGCTGATCAGTGTGTTCTGCTCTGGATTCGATTGGATGTAGAAGGGTGTAAACCAAACATACAGCCGGTCCATAGGGGTAAATGGAGGCTTTCATCAGGTCCACCTTAAAAACTCACAGGTGGACCTGATCAGACCCTTCGTGTTAAAAGAGGCCTTAAAGCCTTCACTGCTGCACGGTCTTATTAGAAAGTCTGGAAGGCTATGCAACCTCCATCAAAGCACCCTGTATTAAAGGGTATCTCATCTTTTGTTTTTAAATGTATTTGAATCTGAAACCTATTTGAATTTGAAGCCAACGATGATTTACAGAAGTAGGGCCAACACTCTTTTGCTACTTCTCCTTGAGATCACGAGTGCATTTTATTCTGCACTCCTGTGAGCAGTATTCATCTGACAGCTGGCTAAAGCCCGCTATCAGCTGACACCATTCAGCTGGTCCAGACTCTGTATAGATCCAGACTTAAAATGTCGGAATCCACCCAGATCCCTGACCAGCAGTTGACTCAGCTGTCGCTGAGATCCTGAGTCAGCCGCTCTCACCCCCTCCATAGCCCAGTGCTCCAGTGACTGCAGGAGGGGGGCAGACCATAGGGGGAGCCGGTGACAGTCACCTCTTTCAGCTCAGTGATAACCAAGAACTGAACGATGCGGTGTTTGATCGCTCAGATCACGGTGTAGAGGTGGCAGAGGACTATTGCAGCGTTGGATCAATGCTGCATCCACATAGGTGAGTAGGAATGTTTGTTTTTTCAAAACCCACACAAAAACCTAGAAAAAAAAAAAAATATATATATATAAACACTCTTCTTTGTATTGGGGTATTTTGTAAACCAACCAACCAAAACGATCATAGTTTATCTTTAAAGTATAACTGAAGGCTAAACTCTACGTTTTTGGTTTTGGTTCTACTTTAAAATTTTAACCGATTCTGTAAAACTAATATAGCTTAAAACTGTAGAGATGGAGAATTTGAAATGTAAATGTAAATTACAAATATTGTGACTATAATTATAAAGCCACACAGTCCAAGAAGTTATGTTACATAATCTATATATGGCAGATTGTGGTGTAATTACAACTAAATGCATTTTACCATCAGGGCCAATTTGTGACTCAAACTTACAACCTTGTATATGTACATACCAGATAAGAGGATAGACACAGAAAATGAGACACTTTACCTCACTTGGCTCTATGATGGCAACTTTCCCGGCTCCAACTTTCCTCTTCATCCGGGCGCTCATGCTAATTCCTCCAGCACCGCCTCCGACAACCACCACATCGTAATACTCCTTGGCAGCAAATCTACTGGTCACATGTAAACTGCGGTTGGTGCCAACGCTCACACCAGCCCTTAATAAATGAGCACACTGGTGGACATGGCCGCCGCAGGGCGCTATTCCAAAGAAGGCCATCGCTGGATGAGATTACAACCTGGGAACAAAATATCACACTTTGAAAGGGAAATATATCTTTTATGAATTAATAGCTTAAAGAGCAACTCGGCCCAGACTATGCACATTAAAGCGGTATTAAACCCAAAAATGTAATATATTGCAGTTTATCAATCATTAGACGTGGTGGTTGCATTCGTTTTCTTTTGAGGATTTTTCCCATCTGATTTCACCTGGTGTTCTGGCTAGTAACACCCTTCCTGTATTAGAGAGACACTACTCTGGATGAAGGAGCACAGGGGGCACCTTTGGATAACCAGCAAATATCACAGAAGATACCCACACTGATCAGGGCACTGATGATCAGTGTCGCCAATCAGTGCCCAGCAGTGCCACCCAATCCCCAGCAGTACCACCAGTCTGGCCATCATTGCTGCATATCAGTGCAGCAGCATCAGTGCCTCCTCATCAATGCCCACCTTTGCTTCCTCATCAGTGCAGCCTATCAGTGCCACCTCATCAACGCACATCAGTGAAGGAGAAAAAACGACCTGTTTGCAAGATTTTATAATAGAAACAAACAAAGAAAAACCTTTTTTTTTTCAAATTTTTTGCTCTATTTTTGTCTATAGTGCAAAAAATAACCCCCTCCCCCCCAGTGGCGATTAAGTACCACTATAAGAAAACGCTATTCGTGTGAAAAAAAAAATAAAAATTTCATATGGGTACAGTGTTGCATGACCGTGCAATTGTCATTCCAAGTGCTAATGCACTGAAAGCTGAAAATTGACCTGGGCACGAGGGGGGGGGGGGGGGGGGGGGTTAAAAGTGGTAGGCAAGTGGTTAATACCACTTTAAAAAAGGTACTTCAGTATTTTTAACAAGCTGTAAAATAACTTTTAAAACAAACCATCTTTGCCTGATCTCTGTATGAGCGTGTACTGTGAAGTAATTCCTTCTCAAAGATCCCCCAAAAAAATCAGCTAGTCTGCTTCGGTTCACACCTAGCGTTTCGTGAATGCATGTGTTTTTTGGGCTATATGAATAAGCTACCCTACATGCAACAAACACACCAAAGCAGCTCATGCACCTTTTTGAGAATTGAGTTCTAGACATTTTGGCACATGCAAAAACAAGTATCTACTTGCTGCATTTGGGGTGCCATTAACAATGAATCGCACCACTTTTGCATATGTTCACAACACGCTAAGGTGTGAACCCAGCTGTGTCCTTACATTAGAGGGCTGGAAGGCTACCAAGATTCCGCTCTTCATAGAAAGTTAGAAAAAAAAAAAAAATCAGCTTTAATGTCAGTATCGCGGTCTTGAATTTTGAGAATACATTCCTCCATAAGGTCTATTGCTACCGAGGTGACTAAGGATTTTTTTAAAGTGCTATAATATGTATTATAACACACTATATTGCCAAAAGTATTGGGCCAGCCCTCCAAATCATTGGATTCAGGTGTTCCAATCACCTCCATGGCCACAGGTGTATAAAATCAAGCACCTAGGCATAAAGACTGCTTCTACAAACATTTGTGAAAGACTGGGTTGTTCTCATGCAAACGTGGTACCGTGATAGGTTGCCACCTGTGCAATAAGTCCATCCGTGAAATTTTGGTTAGTGGTATAACAAAGTGGAAGCAACTGGGAACAACAGAAACTCAGGCATGAAGTGGTAGGCCACGTAAAATGACAGACAAGGGTCAGCGCATGCTAAAGAGCACAGTGCGCAGAAGTCACCAACTGTCTGCAGAGTCAATAGCTAAAGACCTCCAAACTTCGTGTGGCCTTCAGATTAGCACAACAGTGTGTGGAGAGCTTCATGGAATGGGTTTCCATGGCCGAGCAGCTGCAACCAATCCTTACATCACCAAGTGCAATGCAAAGCGCTGGATGCAGTGGTGTAAAGCACGCCACCACTGGACTCGAGCAGTAGAGACGTGTTCTCTGGAGTGATAAATCACACTTCTCTGTCTAGCAATCCGATAGACATGTCTGGGTTTGGCGGTTGCCAGGAAAATGGTACCTGCCTGACTGCATTGTGCCAAGTGTAAAGTTTGGTGGAGGGAGCATTATGGTGTGGGGTTGTCTTTCAGGGGTTGGGCTTGGCCCCTTAGTTCCAGTAAAGGGAACTCTTAATGCGTCAGCATACCAAGACATTTTGGACAAATTCATGCTCCCAACTTTGTGGGAACAGTTTGGGGATGGCCCCTTCCTGTTCCAACATGACTGCGCACCATTGCACAAAGCAAAGTCCATAAAGACATGGATGAGCGAATTTGGGGTGGAGGAACTTGACTGGCCTGCACAGAGCCCTGACCTCAACCCGATAGAACACCTTTGGGATGAATAAGAGTGGAAACTGTGAGCCAGACCTTCTCCTCCGACATCAGTGTCTGACCTCACAAATGCACTTTGGGAAGAATGGTCAAACATTCCCATAGACACACTGCTAAACCTTGTGGACAGCCTTCCCAGAAGAGTTGAAGCTTTTATAGCTGCAAAGGGTGTGCCAACCCAATATTGAACCCTATGGACTAAGACTGGGATGCCATTAAAGTTCATGTGCGTGTAAAGGCAGGCGCCCCAATACTTTTGGCAATATAGTGTATGTAAAATATATATTTATATACAATAGTGTGTAAGGACAGGGAAACTTCTTAACACACACACACGCAATGGTTTTTCTTAACATTTAATTACTATCAGTTTTATGAATACAACTGAGGCAGGCCATAGTTGATATGATTTTCCTTCCTGCAGCAGGAAAGAAAAAGAAAAAGAAAAAAAGTCTTCATTCCCCCACCAACACTGTGTTCCTGCATCCCCTCTCGCAGAGCTATTGTGTTCTCCCAGCAAGGGGGGGCAGAAGCTGGGAAGCCGCCATCCCCGTCAGGAGAACACAATAATTATTGGTAGCAGCCATAGCCGCTGGCAACAAATCGCTTGCAAAAAAAAAAAACCGACTAGTTGTACCCAGGTTGATCGATGAATTTGAACCATCTATGGTCGGCTTAAGCCAGCAAATTATCCATGTAGCATGACTCAAAGGAATTCTTCTTGAAGTGTCTGTAGACATTTCCAGTTATGAAGCTGTTTACAGGCAAAAGGTCTCTCATTTACACAAGGTGTGGTTGTAGTCACACTGCTTCTTTCTGGGTGAAAGTGCATTTATTCTGTACTTGAAATGACAGGGATTGATTCACCACCATTGATAAAATATGCCCCTATACATAGCGCTCTATAAAAAGAATAGCAGCTAGGACACTAGAGGAAATCACAATAACCTCATAAACTAAGAGTAAATAAATAAAGTGCAGTGCTAAAACTAGAATAAAACGAATACAAATTTGTTTAAAAGTTCGTCCAATTAATCAAATCTCATAAATAGCACCAATAATATTATCCACAGTAGCAGATCTCTTAGAAGCTTGTGACAAGAGAGAATGACAGAAATGCGTACTCACCGACTGCGCACCTCCCTCTCTTTTTGGCTCCCTATGGAGGAGCTATTAGATCCACAGCACTACTTCCATTAAATCCAGCATCCAGAGGAGGGAGCCCTGTATCCAGGCTGTTCACCCACACATCCTTAAAGGAGTCTTCTGAGTCCAGCAGACCATTACTTCACCCAAGCTTAATGACCAATTTCTCCTGAGGGAAGCCTCACCATCCACCTGCTGTTTTACACTCCATCTGATGGTTATTTACATGCACATTTCCTATGCGCAATCGGTGAGTGCACATTTCTGCCATTCTCTCGTCACAAGCTTCTAAGAGATATCTGCTGCTGTGGATAATATTATTTGTGCCATTTATGAGATTTGATTCATTGGACAAACTTTTAAACAAATTTTTATTCATTTATTCGTTTTATTCTAGTTTTAGCGCTACACTTTTATTTACTATATGTTAAATGGACTGCTGTGCGTTTCTGCAAAAAGAAAAACGCTTAGGTGTGAACCTAGACTGAGGCAGCATTCACACCTGCGTGATGCGTCATTTTTCTCCCATGCATCTGTGTCACGCGAGAGCAGTCAAGTGAATGGGCTGCCGAATGCATGACAAACATACCACGGTACCTGCACTTTTTTTTTTTTTTTTTGCAGTGATCCAAGCACATTTTTGTAATGCGCAGTTTGTCACATGACAAAATGCGCAACTGCCAACTGCATTTGGGGTGCCATAAAGAAATAATGGCACCCGCGCGTATGTCTTGCTGCGTTTTCTGCACATTTCTGGGACCGCGGGCAGACACAACTTTCTGCCTACGTTTCCAGAACATAAAAAAAAAGTATAAATGGGGTCTTAGGTGACCATTTCAGTGGCCTTCTGTTATTATTATACAAGTTGTTTATAGCGCCAACAGTTTGCTCAACACTTTACAATATAATGGGAGACAATACAGTTCATAGTTACATACCGGTAGTTAGTCTGGCTGAAAAAAAGACAAAAGTCCATCCAGTTCAACCATTTAAAAAAAAAAAAAAAAAAAAAAGTTATCACCCTTTACCCACAGTTGATCCAGAGGAAGGGAAAAAACCCAGCAAAGCATGATCCAATTTCCTCTGCAGGGGAAAAAAATTCCTTCCTGATCCCCCGAGAGGCAATCGGATATTCCCTGGATCAACTTTACCTATAAATGTTAGTATCCAGTTATATTCTGTGTATCTAAGAAATAATCCATGACTTTTTTAAAGCAATCCACTGAGCTGGCCAGAACCAACTCTTGAGGGAGTCTATTCCATATTTTCACAGCTCTTATCGTTTAGAAACCTTTCCATGTCTGGAGATTACATTTCTTTTCCTCCAGACGTAAAGAGTGCCCCCTTGTCCTCTGTGATGACCTCAGGGTGAATAGCTCTACACCGAGTTCACTATATGAACCACTGATGTATTTATACATGTTGATCATATCCCCCTTAATCTCCTCTTCTCAAGAGAGAATACATTCAGTTCCTCTAATCTTTCCTCATAGCTGAGCTCCTCCATTCAATAAAAAATGAGGGTTAGGAG